TGTGTGTGGTGTGCGCACATGCGAGGGCGGGGGTGGGGGATGGGGGGGTTGTATAGTTCAGTAGCAGTATGCTTGCCTGTCATAAATGGACTCCTTGGTTAGGTCCCTAGTACTGCAAAACTAAATGAAATCAATCTTTCAGACAGGTGTGTAGCATACTTGTAATCTGCATTTAGCAATGGAACTAGGAGAATCAGGAGGTTAGTGTTATCTTAGGCTATTTTAGTTCAAGGCTATCCTGGGGTATCTGTAATATATACCTCAATAACATAGAGGATGTTAAATGTTTTAAGCAGTACAATGAGACAACTGAGAATTTTTTAAATTAGACTTTGGGGCAGACACTGTGGAAGAAGTGATATTTAAGTTGATGGAATTAAAAGCATTACCCGAAGAAGGAAAGAGAGTAACTTAGTTGGTCTGGGACAAGAGTCAGGTATAAGAGAAAGGAGGGTATTACCAGAGAGGCAATGCATCTACCTGGGCTGACAGAGGCAGGTTGGTAGAGCATGGTGAAGGTCCATCTTTGAGAGCAGCTCACATCTGGTGATCATCAATAATACCAAGTATAGACTACACTGTGGTTCTCTCTTTAGGAAAATATTATTCCTCATTTATGAGTGAGTTTATTTGTCTAATTTCCAAGATGTATGTATGTGGTGGTGTTATCCTTACTAATTTAAGACAAATGTCTTTCTTTTCATGTAAATTAAATGGAAAGGGTTTTTGTTTGTGTGTTTTATGTCTTAATTTATGTCAAGCTGGGGTTTTAATAAATATAGACTATATTATTGTGATAATTTGATTTTTGAAATGGATGCAACTTATACATCTAGCATTTTGCATTATGTTGTAACCTCAGAATCCTTCTTTGTTTGATCTTCCTGTGTACTGGTGAGGGGGAGGGTAACTAGAGACAAAGCCAGCTGTCTATCCTTATATATGTCCCCTTGGGTACTCAGAAGATAACAGTGTTGAGAGTCAGAGGGAACCGCAGCAGTAGTAATGCATGTACAAGCACGATTCTTTTCTTTGAGCATCCACATAAAAAATTATGTGCATAATTGCTGTGGTTTCTCAAGGGGACTTGGCCCAGTATTCAGTAATTTGCCAGAAAAAATTATATATCCCAGAGTTTTAGATTCATAAAAATGAAATTTTTGCTGTATAGGTGGTTTTTTTTTTCCAAATTTTCTAGAAACCTTTGCTTAATTTGAAATAATCACAGTACACCATATTTCACTTACTAGTTAACCATTTACAGTAATATAATGGTTAAACTAAGCACGTGTAAATTAATAAGACTGTTGATTGTTGAAGGCTCTTTTGAAAATAATGTACTATATGTAATATTTTTATAATAATTTTGACTAACTTTAGTTTTTTACAAATTAACTTACAACCTAGGCTCCTAAAGGTAAAGAAATTATTATTGCCATGTTGCTTATAACAGCAACATCTTGGAACTGTTCACATAGCCACTGATTGTGAACTGTGCAAATGAGTTGTGTTGCCATGTACAATGGCATATCATAGGGACTAGTGCTGGAAATGAAAGGTAGGCATAGCACTTTGGAGAAGGGTGTAAATGAAAAAATAAGCCTTAGGATAGCCATTTGTGGCATGCTGCTAATCGTGATTGGTTAGTTGCATTGTTTTGAAATTTAATTGGTATTTTTCTGTGTGTGAAGAATTTCTTGGAAGGTAATAGACAAAACTTTTAACATGGTAACCTCTAGGGAAGGAGGCAGGGACTTGAACGTAGGAAGCTTCTTACATCCTTTATATTTGAGAGCCTTTTCTCTTATACATATATTCCTTATTCTTAAATATTTTTAGAAAAACAGAAACTGATTTGGTCATCCAGAATCCCAGCATGGAGTGGGGTAAGGCTTATGAAGCCCCACCCATGGCTGAGGATCTATTGGCAAATGATAGCTATTGGTGGACTTAGTGCATTTGCTTCAGGGATGTGTCCCTGGAGACGCTACCATGGTCCAGTAGATGGTCCTACACTTATGTCCATAAAGGCAGCATTAGGTAGTCTTCGTGAGTTTAAAAACTAAGTACATGAATTAAGAAAGAAATGTGGCATGGAAATAGAGAGGTTTTGAGGGGTGGATGTGATCAAAACATAAAATATGCATGTATGAATTTTTTTTCTTTTTTGTTTTTCCAGACAGGGTTTCCCTGTGTAACAGTCCTGGCTGTCTTGAAACTTGCTTTGTAGACCAGTCTGGCCTTGAACTCACAGAGATCCCCCTGCCTCTGCCTCCTAAGTGCTGGGATTAAAGGCATGCACCACCAACTCCCAGCTCAATGTATGTTTTTGCAGTGAAAATTAATGAAATTATGCATATCAAGCATCATAAAACATTGCTTGACTTTTCTATTTTTCTGAAAATAAAGTGGCCACTGGAATTTTGACAGGGATTTCATTAAATGTGTAGATTGATTTGTTGTCATCTTAATAATATCAAATCTTCCAATCTATGAGCATGGCATTTCTTTCTATATACTTAAGTCTACTTTAAGTTCTATATGTTTTGTCACTTTTAACATATGAGTCTTTCACCTCCTTAGTTAAAATTACTACTACATGTTTTATTCTTTTAGGTACTGTAATAACTAAAAATTGTTTTCATAATTTTATTTTTAGATTGCTTATTGCTGATATATATAGACAACTGAATTTTGTGTGTTAATTGACTTTGTATTCTGCAGCTTTGCTGAAACTACTCTTACAGTTTCATTGTGGATTCTTTGGAATCTGTATTTTGTTTTCTGACATTGTAATTTCTGGGGTCTTTGCTTAGGATTCAGAATGTAAAGCTACAAATGTGCTTTTCTACTCATCTAATTTTCCAGCTAATCTTGACTCTATGCTGGTTCTCTTGTGGTCCATTTGTCGCATAAAAACTAGAATGGTTCTTTAAAGTGCTGTTTGGGTCTTGACATTCAAAACTTTCTACTAGATCATACATCAGAATTAAAATTTAACCCTGAATGAAGTACTACAAACCCTGTCTGATACGTCACTGGGAACATTATCTCTAGTTCATTCCAATGATAGTAACCTTGGTCTTCCATCAATGAGCTCTTTGTACTTTTGTCTACCTGGAGTCCTCTAGAGATTCCAGGGGTTCATTCTTCATTCTTTAAGGCAAGTCTAATCTCCTGAGAGTCTTAATCTGCAATTTTACTCCTATCCCTTTCACCATATACTGTTAGGTAGAAGTTAAGAGGAAATTGACAAATATCTTGTCTGTTATTTACTATTAAATCTCCAGTTCTTAGGATGATGTTGGGTGTAAAAGATATCTAAAAAGTGCTTGTATACATATTTTATTTTTCAACTAATAGAAACTAATATATACTGAGTACAGATAGTGGATCAGACATTTGATGTGTTCTTCGCCTTTATTCTTAACAAACTTGTGAAAGTATGTTGTTTGTTTTTGTTTTGTGGTTTGTTTGTTTGTTTTAAATAGGTCTCATGTAGTCCAGGCTGACCTCAAAATACTATGTACTTCTAATCCTCCTTCCTCCACCTCCCAAGTGCTGGGATAAAGAGCTTGTACAATCCTGGTTTTATGCAGTACTGGAGATCAAGTCCAGTGTGAGAGCAGACATTATTTTCATTGACTAAGAGGAAACTGATAACTATAAACTCTAAGTTAAATAATTTATTCTACTAGGATTTGATGTCTGGTTTATATAGTATTTAATTCCAAAGCAAATGCTTTCTATCCCGTTATTTTTAAGTTATTAAATATTTTTATACTGTAGAGAATACAAAGGTAAATAATGAATGGTTATTTAAATTAAGTAAGTATATACATCTGTAGAGATGAAATAAAAAAGCACTGTAGGTGCTGGGGGAAAAAAACTAACTTTTTTAAAAGATGAAATTTATTGGGGCTGGTCATTGGAGTGTATTATAGGATGGGTTTGGGAAAAGTAAGTTGGAAACTAGATTTTTTTTTTTTTAAAGAGCTCAAGTTTGTCAAGCTAAAGTGTTTGCACAATGTTATTCTAAGAAAACTGTAGAATAATGATGGTACTAAATGTTTGTGTGGGCATATGAGCAATGCAGTGCTTGAGAGCACAGGCTTTGCACAAAATTATACCGGTTGCAAGCAGGTATGGTGGTTATACCGTTAATCCTCACACAGGCAGGTGGATTCAAGGCCAGGCCAGCTGTGTCCTATTCTAGCTCAGTAGCCATGAACAAATTACTTAACCTCTCTGTGCTCCAGTTTCCTCAGTCAACAGGGACTTAAGTAATTGTTACATGTCAAAGCACAAAATATAAGGCTAAGCACTATATTAAGCATTCCATATATGTCAACTATTGTCTATTTATATGATGTTTAAATTCTCACATTTTCTTCTTGTGTTTTGTATCTTTCCATTTTACAGCAACTCTGTGAGATAAAAGTTACTGTAACTAGTTTAATGGTAGATAAAGCAGTGTTGAAGAGGACAATATCGTAGGAGAAGCTCCGGTTAGCAAAAACTAGTCTTATACCAGGCAGGCATGGTGGTGCATGTCATTAATGCCAGCCCACAGGAGATACAAAGAAGCAAGAGGATCTGTGTGAGTTCGAGGCCAACCTGTTCTACATAGTATGCTCCAGGATAGCCGGGACTACATATCCAAAAACAAAAACTGGTCTTAGCATTGAAAGCCATTTAACTCTGTAGCATTAAAGCTTTAAAAAATAAATAAATAAATAACAAGGTAAAAAAATTGTAGAACAGTAGAATAACATGATAAAAGCCAAGTTTGGAGGAAACTATTCTGATGGCATTCTGCAGAGTAAAGAAGCAGAAAAGGAAAAATCTAGAATCAAGTTTATTGGACTCTTAAAATAATCTGAATACAGTCTTTCTTTATGAAAACCTCCTGCCAGGGCTGTGTCTCAGAGAATGAAGAAAAATAATTAATTAAAAGGAACATTGTAGATTTTATAACTAACCAATACATTTTCTTTCAGCTGTATTTAAACTTGAAACAGATAGAACTGTGTGGCCCTTGATAAGAATCTATCGGGGTGGCTTTCTTCTGATTGAATTCCTTTTTCTACTGGGCATCAACACATATGGTTGGAGACAGGCTGGAGTAAATCATGTCCTCATCTTTGAACTTAATCCAAGAAACAATTTGTCTCATCAGCATCTCTTTGAGGTAATAAAGCACGGAGTCTCGTGAATTGTAGTTTGCAAATAACTGAATAGCTGACTTGAGTATTCAAGTCTACCTTCCACTTGAAGATTGGTGGATTGTTTATCATTTTTCTTATCTTTGTTTATTAAAGGTTTTTCTGTGTCATGATAAAAAATAACTTTCTTTCCTTTGTGTTCCCTGTGCTTTATAGATTGCTGGATTCCTGGGGATACTATGGTGCCTGAGCCTTCTGGCATGCTTTTTCGCTCCCATTAGTGTCGTCCCTATATATGTGTACCCACTTGCCCTTTATGGATTTATGGTCTTCTTTCTTATCAACCCCACCAAAACTTTCTACTATAAATCCAGATTTTGGCTGCTTAAACTTCTGGTAAGTCTAGAAGGCTTGTATGATATTTGTAGAGCAATGTATTAGTCATTGGCTTCCTCAGAGGTCACTCATGGCTGCTGAATGGTACAGCCCATATGCATGGTTCTTACTGTGCATGTGCATGGTGCCCAGCTTCAGGAGCAAAAGTGCTTTTGACAGGCTGGATAACCTTGAAAGTTTCCAATGTGGCAGCCCTGGGAAAGTGCTTTGTATTTTTCCCCCTCCTAAAATGAAGTATAAAGTAACCAGATAGTGAATTGATTTTGCAAATCATGATTATTTATATTATGTTATATGGGTTATTTAACCAGTGTGATACTATGTAGAACTTTCTGCTTCTTTCTAAAGAAAAGAGAGCTGGGTATGGTAGCATCATGTGATCCCTGTCCTTAGGAGATAAAGGCCCAAGAATTAGAAGCCCACAGTCATTCTCAACTATGTAACATTTTGTTTGAGGCCAACCTGAACCTGTCTCATTAAAGTAGTGACACTATTGTTCCTAATTGTTCAGTTGATGTGACTAGTTAGCCAAGCCATTTATTTTAGGACCAGTTGGTTCTCTGAAAGTGGTAGGGATATTTAGTCAGACCACCAAGCTGAATTTGATGCCAATTTGTATTTTGTTGTTTGTAGTAACTTCTTTATTTTGTTTTATCTGCCCTTGCTTTCAGTTTTTTGAGGCAGAGTCTCTTGATATAGCCCAGGCTGACTTCAATTTCATGGTTTTCCTGTCTCAGCCCCCAAGTGTTGGGATTACAGCAAGTGTGCCGCAGTGCTTGGCCTTTGCCTATTTCTTAATGATCTCAAAACCTTTTAACAGTAGATTAGAGAATGTCCTGGAAAATTATAGCTGTGTTGTTTTGTGATATAGTGCAAATGTAGTTCTGGGATGAGTTGATGCACTCCTAAAGAAGCCTGCTTAATTTTTGAAATCAACTAAGAATGTTCTCATGTAGATGTTTCTTAGATTATGGATTACAGCTGATAATAGAAGGAAGGATAGTGGTTAAGATGAATTACTATAATATTCTTCTCTTTTCTCCTCCTCCTCCTCCTCTTCCTTCTTCATATAAATACACCTCCCTGAAAAAGGTAATTTTTATTTCCTTTGCTGTTTGTTTTTCCCTGGGGAATTAGCAATACTAGTTTAAAAAATTAAAACTAAAGCATGTTACACTTGGTGGCTCATTCATGTAATCCCTGTATTCTGGAGGCTGAGGCAGGAAGATTACCAAGAGTTCAAGGCCAGCTTGGTCTACATAATAAATTCCAGAGTTAGACCCCTCTTTGTACACACACACACACACACACACACACACACACACACACACACACACACCCTAAAACCTGAAACACAGCTTCCTTTCCCTGTTTCTTTATTTTGCTTTTATTTATTTTTTGTTTGTTTTTCGAGACAGGGTTTCTCTGTGGCTTTGGAGTCTGTCCTGGAACTAGCTCTTGTAGACCAGGCTGGGGCTTTGCTCACAAAGATCCACCTGCCTCTGCCTCCCGAGTGCTAGGACTAAAGGTGTGTGCCACCACCTCCCAGCTTCTTTTGCTTTTAAATGAAAGTAAATGCTTATAGCAACTAAGAAAGTAAGATGGCCAAATTTTCTTGACTTTTCCAAAGTTGGATTTTATGAGAATTTCACCTTCTACCAAGATTTTTACTACAAATAAAAATTCCTCCTTTTTCCCTCTTGGGAGTGGAGAAGACAGCTCAGGGCTGGAGATACACCTCAGTTAGTAGAGTGTTTGCCTAGCATACAAAAAGTCCAGAGTTTGATTTCCTCAAACAGCATAAACTGGGTGTGGTAATCCCTGTATTCCCTGCACTCAGGAGTGTGAGGTGGGAAGATCACAAGTTGTCACCTCTGACTATGTACCTAGTTCCAGAGTACCCATGAGACTCTGTCTTTAAAAAATAATTAATTAAAAGACCCTTAAGTATAACTACTGCTCCAAATTTAGATTTGATTTCTGAGTATAAATCTTAAATGTGCAAGAATATGTAAGGAAACTATAACCTAGGAAACAATATTTTTGTTTGTGGGGGAAGGGTAGGGGATACAGTTTCATTATGTAGCTGAGGCTACCCTGAAATTTAATATGTAAACCAGGCTGGCCTTGAACTTACAACCTTCCTGCCTCAGGTTCCTAAATGCTGGGATTACAGGCATGTGCCAAGAACCCAGCATCAACATGCTTTTTAGAGAGGATGGTTTGGGATTTTAGAGGGAAAAGAAAAAAAAATAGAGCCATTATTTACCTCTTGAATATACTAAAAGTATTATCTTTTTTCTTAGATTACCTATAAATGTAAAATCCCTACAAAGTGTTTATTTTTTTAAGATTTGTTTATTTTTATCTCATATATGTGGGTGCCTTCATATATGTATGTGTACCACATGTGGCTGGTGCTCATAGAAGCTAGAAGAAAACATTGGACCCCTAGAGCTTGAGTTACAGCCAGTTGTGAGTTGCCATGGTGGTGCTGGGAACTGAACCCAAGTCCTCCACAAGAGTAGCAAGTACTGTTAACCACCGAGCCACCTCTTTAGTTTGTCTATAAAATTATTTCTAAATGAGGCTTTTTGGAAGATTCGGCAAGCTTTCTGTGATAATATCATTGCAATAACAGGATGGATGTAGTTGTGTATTTTGTGTACTAAGTGTAAAATTCCCCAGTGAATCCATTGTTTAAATAGAAAGCCTTGATTTCATGCATGGCTGCTTACTATGATTGGTAGAATTGGTAGAAACTCAACTCCCTGTTGAGTTTATGTATGTGTTTGTAGTACGTGTTAATAATGCATTCTGATTGATAGGCCAGCAATGATGTATAAGAAGGAATAACAGACTAGCACTCTTAGAAGCAGTGAAATGTAGAACAAAACATTGATTTGTTGCTTTTATAATATTGCTATTGAAACAAAAGTGTTACTGTATATGGGTCATTTTAAATCATATTAATTTCTTTTATTCAAACTTCACTGGTAGAATTACTCCCTATAATGTATGCCAGAAAATTAACAGAATGTTTTCACTGTAGTTATATTTCTTTGAAATCTTTTTTTTTAATTTGTCCTAAAAGGAGGGGGGCTTATTTCCCTTTTTTTTTTCAACTCCAATTTTAGTGTAAGAAACACATACGTCATGTGATCATAATAGTAAAGACTACTTACTATTATGTTCATAGTATTTGGGAATATATATTATATTCATAGTTATATGGGAATCTTTGAAATTGGCATATGCTACCTTCCCTTCAAAAAACAAAGCTTGAGAACTTTAAGATACTAACTTACTGCAATGTTGATATGTCTAATCTAGGGTAGTCCATTAGGTCTCTTTCCTACATCTCTATTTGTCCCAACCAGAAATCCAATTAGAATGTGTAAGCAAAACCCCAGATTTCCAACAGTAACATTACCTTATTCTTCTAGTAAGCTAACTAAAGATTTAAAATAGAGCTGGGTGGTGGTGGCACATACCTTTAGTCCCAGCACTAGGAGGCAGAGGCAAGTGGATCTCTGTGAGTTTGAGGCCAGCCTGGTCTACAGAGTGAGTTCAGGACAGCCAGGGCTACACAGAGAAACCCTGTCTCAAAAAAGAAAAAGAGAAAAAAAGTTTTAAAGTAAAGTCCTTAGTTATATAATTTAGAGATCAGTTTTTAACAATAGTTTTGCTAGTTCTGTAATAAAATCGTGTGTACATCCATATGAACTTAGGAGCTGGAGAAATGACTCAGTGGTTAGGACCACAGGTTGCCCTTCCATAGGAATCAGATTTGATTCCTAGCACTCACTTGGTGGCTCACTACTGCCTGTAACTCCACTTCCAAGGGACCTGATTCCCTCTTCTGCCCTCTGAAAGTAACATATGTTCAGGCAAAACATCCATACACATAGAGTAATTTTTGAAGTAGAACTTAAGCCTCATAATCTTAGCTGTTCGTCTATATTAGCTTATTCTTTGCACAAGCTGGCAATCCCTAACCTGAAATGTGAAATGCTTCAAAATCCATTTTTTTTTTTTTGGCATCAATATCCCATCTGTAGTGGGCCATTTGCTCCTATGTGAGATCAGAGAAAGCAGCCACACTAAGTTTAGTGTATATTTACCTCCAACTATCATAAATTCCACATGTAGACCATCCCCAAGATAGCTCATAAGGGATTTGCAAATATTCCAGACTCTAAAATGCTGGGCCCTAGGCCAGTAACTTACCAGTGATATTTTTGTGCATTTGAGTAAACATTCAGAATTAATTCTAGATTTCATAATGCTGTTACTCCAGAAATCTATCATTTTAATCAAAATCAGAGTAGAGGTAGAGACTTTGGAAGGCTTTGGCTGGAATAGAAAAAGGAGTTAAATGACACTCATTTAGAAGGAGAATCCAGATAAATCTGGAATGAAGTTGGTTGTGCATAAATGTCAGAGTTAAGTATGACCTGTCCTCCCTCTCGACTTGCCTGTGACAGAACTGCTTGTTCCCATCTGTTTTCTAGGGTGTCCTTTATAATGTGTCTCTAGGATACACTTGTCATAGGGTGGTATTATTGTATCTCTGTGCATTTATTTGCCCAACTAGACTGGGTCATGTAAGCCTTTGAGGTGACTGAGAGTAGAGACTGTGTTTATCTACCTATCCTTCCAAGTGCTTGATATATAGTAAGTACTCAAGTCCTTGTTAAATGTCTAAGTGACTAACATTTACTCCTCCCTCCTTTTTTTCATCACCTTTCTCTTTTCTGAAAAAAAAATCCCTTCATTTTGGGTTTGTTTGTTTTCTTTAATTTTCACATCAATTCCTCTTTTTCTCATGCCTCCATCCTTTATTTCGTGTTGCATTGCACTCATCTGCTACACTTAGAGAATCGTTCTGGACTAGCCCAGTTTTGAGGATGGGGTTGGTGAAAAGAGTAATGGAAGCTTGTCTCATGTCAGAAGGAATCAGTTTGCCCTAGGCTGCCATTTTTTTTTAAAGTCAACTACTAGAGACTTAGGCTTTCTGATCCTTTGGTGTTGTATTAGAAATTATCTTCTTGCCTTTGTTTCTTTGAAGTATTTAAGTCTATTCTACATCCTAGAATATCTCAAAATATTACAAAGGCTCACACCAGAGTCTGTTCATACATGGATTGCTGAGACCTCATTCTACCGCTTCCCTGTAAGGAAGTGTCCTCTAACAAGAGCAATAGTATAGCTTGTAAACTGGCATTTTAGACTCAACAAAATATAAGGAAGCTATCAAGAGATGGAACCCAAAGATACCAGCTCCAGAAACCAATTATCTCAAAACCTGTATTATTGTGTCCTGGTTTAGTTCCAATACAGTATTTGTTATAGATGACAGTCAGGATTGATTCATGCTATATAGTCATGTATGTCTCTGAAGAGAAATGCTTATGGACTAAATAGAAAGAACCAGCCACATCTGAGAGGAGGTTTGCCACAGATTCCCAGGGTGAATTTGTCTACTAAATGAATGCAGCTGTACATCCAGAGAGCTAAAAAAATTACTCATTTTCAAGATGGCTACTTTGACAGAGACGAACATCATTATTATTATCTTATACATTTTCTTCTGTGTAATAAAACCAGGGGAGTCTGACAGGATAAATATAAAAGCTATCTGCATCCATACTCCTTCGTACAAGGTCATCCAGGTACTCTCCATTACTTGTGCTTATTTCTGGTGATGGCATTAGTATCTGAGTCTTCTCTTCTCTGCAGTGCCAGAATATCTCTTTGCAGTTATAACAGGTTGGTGCAGAACAAAGCCAAGATGAGTTTGTGTTTAATGGGAGTAACAATAATACTTAGCTTTGGATCTGAGAAAGTTGGGCATGGTGGAACACAACCTATGATTCTAGCACTTAGTGTGTAAAGGTGGGAGGATTTCAAGTTAGAGGCCAGCCTAGGCTACATAGTCAGGGCTATCTCAGCCTACTCCCTTTAAGGAAAGTTGTTAGAAAGATTAAGCTGTAGTATTCCATAAACCTGAAGCAAATATATTATATGAGTTAATGTCCAATATGTTTGCTTAATAGGCTTTATCATTACTTTTCAGGACAGTGGTAAGAGAGGTGATTTTGTGGTGAAATTCCAAGATTAACAAGTCATTACCATTAATTAGTGAAATATTACATAGTTTGGGATTGCAGTTCAGTGATTGAGTACTTGACTTATGTACAAGATTCTGGGTTTGAAACCCAATGCTGTAAGAATGTCATTTAAGTTAGAAAATGTAACATGCCTCAGAAGATGCAACCACCCTCCCTACCTTTACAAAGAAGCACTTTGTATTCAGTTAGCTATGTCCTCTGTCTAGCAAAGTTTGCTTTGTAGCCTAAGGTTAGAGTTCCTCTCTGTACTTCCAACACTTTTTCTCTTGAGAGGGTCTTACTCTGTAGCTCAGGCTGGCCCCAAACTTGTGCTAATCCTGCCTCAGCCTTCTAAGTGCTGTGCTTACAGCACTTAGTGTATTCTCCCTCCTTTTTATTTCCATTTTTTACTTGTAATTCCTACCAACAACCCTACACACTCACACAGGCACACTGTTTTCTTTCAGTTTTGCATTCAACTCACTCCCTTTACTACTGCTTACCTCAGCCTTTGTTGCTGGGCTTTGTGTATGACTGTGCTTTACTGGTTTCCTTTTTTATCAGCAGTCACTCTGAATGTCAGACATGAACTAAAGAAATTTAATATTTCTGTGTTTTCTCTCCTTTTTTTGTTGTTGTTGTTTTGTTTTTCTTTTCTTTCTTTTTCTCAGTTTCGAGTATTTACAGCTCCCTTCCATAAGGTAGGCTTTGCTGATTTCTGGCTGGCCGATCAGCTGAACAGCCTGTCAGTGATACTCATGGACCTGGAATATATGATCTGCTTCTACAGTTTTGAGCTCAAATGGGATGAGAATAAGAGCCTGTTGCCAAATGATCTACAAGGTAGGCTATGATTTTTGTATTCACACTGCTGAATTGCCAGCATAAACCAAGAAATATTGGGAATGATAACTGCAACAGTTAAGGTCATGGTGAAAACTCATCCAATAACATTACAAGTTTAATTAAATGTGCTTGGCATTCTGTTAACAATCTCCTCATCTGAAATAATTTGGCTTTTAAGTTGTGTTATTTTAGCCATCCACTTGCCAAGAAATTTACAACTTATACTGAAGAATTCTGCAGTTATTTCTCTATGTTGGTGGCTGTATCACAAATGCTAGAGTGCCAGCAATTTGTCCTCACAGAAATGCTCAGGATACCATTGTAGATACCAGTGATCTAAGTACTGATTGCTAGAATCAGGTCAAGTGCCTTTAGAAAGTCCTGGTAGATTGCTTTAGAAATCTTATTTGGAACCTTGGTTTTCTTCTGGCTCTTTACCTACTCTTAGGTAATGTCAACTTTGTATAGTTGAGAAGTTTGCATTCATAACAAAGATCTAATGTAGCATCTACTTACAAAAGATAATGAAAAACTGGGCGTGGCAGCCTACCAGGCACCTGCAATCCCAGCACTGAGGAAGCTGATGCCATAGGATAGTAAGTACCATTTCAGCCTCGGCTGCATAGTGAAACCCCATCTCAAAAGCAAAAACACAACAAACAGCAGTAAGAAATTAATAATGAGTCTGCCTTGTCCTTGATTAGAAGGGAGACCATAGAACATGTACTCTGGGTATATACTTATAAAACTGTCTAGGTACCTGTGATTTTTGTAAGTTTTCCATATGTTTAATATCATAGAACAAGGCAGTTTATTCCTTTCTTTGGTTCATAGACTCTTTTTCCTATAGTTTTATTGCAGTTGAAAAAAATAATCCTAGGATATTCAGGAGTCTAAGGAGACAGATTTTTCCAGTAGTCCCTCTGTGGTTTTTACCTTCTCTCCTTGCTTTTCTGCCACTGAAAAGCTTGAACAAACAGTAGCTGCATAGGAGAAAGTGACTGAGCCCATTGGGATGGTTTGGATTTTATGGGTGTGCTGATGGGTAGTTGGACTGTGTGACTAAGTGGTGTGATCAGTTCACTCTTTTGAATTGTGATTTTCTTCTTTGAAATCTTCACAGAACCAGAATTTTGCCACAGATATACATATGGTGTGCGAGCCATTGTTCAGTGCATTCCTGCTTGGCTTCGCTTCATTCAGTGCCTGCGCCGGTACCGTGACACAAAAAGGGCCTTTCCTCATTTAGTAAATGCTGGCAAATACTCCACCACTTTCTTCACCGTGACCTTTGCAGCTCTTTACAGCACTCACAAAGGTATGCTGAGGTTTTTAAATCGCTACTTCTTGAATCTGTTGCCCTGGACTTTGCCATTTGTGCTGTTGGTTTCCACTGAAGCCTCTGGTTATCGTGGTTTATTTTTGGACACAGTTTTAGTCTCATTTCACTGTATATTAGCAAATATCATGAACAAGAATCATAGTCAGTCAGGAACAATTGTGATAATGTTTGAAATCACAAATTATGCTCAGTGGGTTTAACCTATGGATGCCTTGGGTTTTCATTTAGTGACTTTAGTGGGTTTTTTTGTTTTTTGTTTTTTTTTAAGCGCTCCTTGTTCATTAATGAGGTTAGGAAATGGCTAGGTGAACAAGATTCCCCCTGGCAATCAAGTATATTTTTAATCGTTTTCTTACACCAACTAGTAAGGATTGTTTCCAGCCCATTTAACTGCAAATTGAGTTCTCTGATCCCTCTAGTTTCTCGTCTCCATGGCAACCTGCTATTACTTGCTACTGCTCTTCTGTTGGAAAGAGAAAAAAGCTTTTAAGTTCTGAGCCACATGCAGACACTCTTGAATTTTTAACCTTTCCCCCAAGAACTGTCAATCAGTAATTCACTTCCTTTTACTAAAACACATTACAATATCAGCCCACACCTTAACACTACAATTTCTCATCCGTAGGTGGCAAAGACATGTGACTGTTGGAAATCAGTGTAGTGCTTTTTAAATACTCAGGTAAATTGTTTTCAGAAACCTTTTTTGTGAGCTGTATTTGGGAGTTTTAATTCAGTGGTACAAAACTGCTGCTGTTCCAACATGTATCTGATGGTCATGAAAGATGAAGGCACCGTTAATACTGTGAGACTGGTGTCAGGGGAGCATGTTACACTGAGCATCCATCCACATAGATAGATTCTGTGCTTAGAATAGTATTGATAAATGTAGACAATAATTTTGCCACCATGTGTCCATTCTTGTTAAGTGATAGGATTTAACTGAGTACCTCAGTGAAGGAAACACATCCCCAAAGCTCCCATAACTTTAATTCTTGCTGAGGAATGCCACTAGGCAGTACCAGAATGCACTGTGATTTATAAAGTTATTACTAGAGAATTTATAAATTTGACTACTTGATCTGATATAATGTGCTTTATGGCTCCTCTTCCTAAATTATCAGGAATACTTGCCTCCCATCTTAGGTAAAAATGAGAACTACTATTTGGGGGTAAATATTTTATGCTAATATATTCGTGAAGAAGCTGACAGTCGCTAGGGTTGTCAGTGCTATTGACACAAATACAGCACTCACCTCAGGAAATGCAGTTTATTATTGAGCCACACATGAGTGGTGATAGCCTGGGAGCACAGATTCTGGATGCCCTGAAAGACATGTTCCACTGGAAGTTTACATGGGAGTTTATAGTTACAGAACAAAGAAAGCCAAAAACCAAGGTATTTACTGAGTACATTGGTGATGACTGCAAATATACAGGCTACATCAAACCAAGGGAAATTGTATAGGTATGGGATATTGTCTGACAACATTTTAGCTTTTAGATTGGTAGGAGCTAGTTTAAAAACAAAAAAAGAATATCTTTTAGGGCTATAGTGATAACTCATTTAGGAAAATGCTTGCTGCACAAACTGGAGGACCTGAGTTTGGTCCCCAGAACCTATGTAAAGGTTCAGCCTGGCAACAGGCACTGTAATCCCAATTCTGGGAGATAGACTGGAAGATCCCTGTGGCCAATTAGTGTAGTCATATCACTGAGCTCCAAGTTAAATCAGAGACACTGTCTCAGAAAATAAGGTAGAGAGTGATTGAGGAAGACACTGATACCAAACTCCACACATACAAAGAATACATTTTAAAGATTTTGATAGTCACAGGGACGTTTAGACACAAGAATGGACAGTGAATGGCTTTTACAAGGACTGAAGACAGTCTAAGATAATCTGGTTCTGGTCTGCAACACTATCTATAATCACAAAGTTCAGCCATTCAGCCTTGTAGAATCTTTTAACACAGGTATAGTTTTTCTTCTTTTCTTCTCCTGGGAACCTGAGTTTATACCAAGACCTATAATGAGACAAAAGGATCACAAGTTCAAGGTCTGCCTTAGTTACAGAGTGAATTCAGGTGAGCCTAGCAACATAATAAGACCTTGTCTCAGACTAAAAAGTATAATGGACAGGCGATATAGCTCACCTACCATGCATGAAGCCCTGTGTTTATTTAGTCCTCACCACGACATAAACTAGGCATGTATGAGATCAAATAAATTAATAAGTAGGTACAAAGAAGGCTAGAAAAATGGCTTCATGGGTAAAGGCATCTGCCGCCAAGCCTGACAACTTGAATTCAGTCCCTGAGTACCACATGGTAGAAGGAGAACTCCCTCCCTCCACATTTCCACAGTGGCATGTGTGGAAATATATGTTCTAGCTCCAATATTACCAGGACTTGGGGAAGGTGAACCAGCATAATTATCTGTAATATAATAGATAATTAGATGTGATATGTATTTATAGTTGTTGACTTCTCTGCTACATATATATGTAAAGTGACATTAAATTTTATCTTTTCACTACAAGATGCTATGAGAATTTTTTCCACTTCTGTTTTATAATTATTGAGCTTTGTTGAGCTGTAAACTAAGGAATGGTTAAAATGGTAAATTTTATGGCAGTTTGAAACTACATGTTTTGAAAGGCTTCAAAATAAACTACTATTTCGTGTAAACAAGGTGGCAGAAAAGTACACAGCGCAGATCTCTGACCCAGCCTGATAGGCCACATATGAAAGATGATGTCCAGATAACATGAAGCTAAAAATGAACTTGAACTTCTGATCCTCCTGCCTCCACCAGCCAAGTGCTGGGATTCCAGATGTGTGTCACCATACCTGACTGTGTATTTTTATTTTGTGATACTAGGATTGTGCTCAGGGCCTTGTGTGTGGTGTGCCAGGCAAGTACTGTATCACTGAGCTCATCCTAGCCTCACCTTGCAGTTAGAGGTGAGAAGCAATCCTGTTTCCTACTTCTGTCTGCCTCGGCCTCATTTGCCACAGCTGTTTTTGTTTCACACAAAACCGAATATTTACCTGTATCTTTACTTCACAGATTTATTGTAAGAATTTCACATGAAATCACTTTATAGACAATACGCTATATAAATAGATGGATAGGAAAATGAACAAACAGCTCCATTTGCTGAGCAGCGCTAATGTGCATTTTTCTTTACAAAGATTCCTAAGGGAAACTCTTAGGACCTTGGGTTAAGGATTGCAGAGGGCCAGTGTCAGTCAGGAAGGGTTTTGACCTTTTGTTGATACAGTATAGCAGCTTACTCACTGAGCACTGTTCATGCACCCTTGTCAGATTTTTAAAAGTCAAGAGGGGAGAAAGCACTTTTTAGAGAGACCATTGATAATATATGTTGATCATATCCCTGAGGTTTTAAAAAATATTTTATAGTTGCTGTATGTTGACTATAATCACTAAATTTTTGTACCAAAAAGTCTAGAACTTGGAATGACAAAAGTTTGACATTTGAATTGTTATTAATTTCTATTTTCTTTCCTCCTTCCTTCTTTCCTTCCTTCCTTCCTTCTTTCTTTCTTTCTTTCTTTCTTTCTTTCTTTCTTTCTTTCTTTCTTTCTTCCTTTCCTTAAGACAGGCTCTTACAATAAGCATTGGTGGTGCACACCTTTAATTCCAGCACTCAGGAGGCAGAAGCAAGTGGATCTCTGAGTTTGAGGCCAGCCTGGTCTACAGTGTGAATTTTAGGACAGCCAGGGCTACACAGGAAAAGCCTGTCTCAGAAATAGATAGATAGATAGATAGATAGATAGATAGATAGATAGATAAAAAGACAGGGTCTCACATAGCTCAGGCTGTCTTCAAATTCATTGTGTAGCAAGAATGACTTTGAACTTCTGGTCCCCTTGCCTCTGTCTCCCTCTTGAGTTCTGGGATTACAGAAATGTGCAACAACACCCAGTTTTATGTCGTGATGGGGCATCAAACTCAGGGATTCATGCATGCTAGGCAAGTGCTCTACCCACTAAGCTATAAGTTCTTTTATTTTCTTGGACAGTATTTTAAGAAAACGCAGACTTTAGAAATAATTACTGAATCAGAAGAATCAGTTCCAAGAGACTAATTATGTGCTTTCCTCTGGCGTGCATGTGCTGTTGCAAGAATTACATTTAAGAGGGAAGAAGAGTAAAAAGATGATGGCATAACCTTGTTCAGACTCAGATCTGAGTCTTTTCAGAGAACTAGCCTGCCAGGGTTACCATAGTAACAGCATTATAGTAAGTGCACTTTCAAAATTGTTACAGAGGTTGTTTCTTATGTTATGCTGTATGATTTGTAAAAATGGAGTTGTAAGCATTAACCCTGCACCTAGAATCATTTTTTAGAAGGTAAGAGTTTAGGCATCCTATTTAGGAAGATTAATCATGATAATATTTCAGTTAGGCCTCTTTTGTTGTATTAAAAAAAAAGAAGCACATTTGAAATAATTCAGGACATTTTATTTTCTGTCAGTGATTTTTAGAGACAAAGGAATTCAGCTAGCAGCCAATCTCTATATATTTCATTATATGACCACATTTGAAACAACTCCTAAAAGTGTTTTCTTGGACTTGGAACTGGAGGAAATGGGGAGGTGTTTTAAATGGGTTTTGTTTTCCTTGAGGTTTCTGGGCTTTGCAAGGAAATATCTTTGGGAAATATAATAGCAGAAAGGCTGTGATGTTGTTGCTTCTAACAAATTGTACTTCTTCAGATCATATTGCATTTGTAGCTTCTAAAATTCTGTAACACTCATAAGTTCTTAGTGGAATTAGAACCTTACTAGTCACATAAATATCTAGAGGGGGTATTTACACTTCACATTTCCTGAGACTTTTGTGGGCAGGATGAGATTCTCTAGAAAACATTTTTTAAAAGCTCTTGTCTCTCAAGTTCATTTACATCCATGTTGTTGGTGCCCAGGTCTGGTGTGGATGCCTTTGTGCATT